CTCTTTACTTTCATTCGACATTGTATCCTTTCGATATTTTTTCTTCCTAACTTGCATTCGACCTTTTGTCCCACAACCGTTGAATGGAAGAAATGTCGAATGCAACACAAAAGATTGAAATGGATAAAAGGACGAAAAGGACATAAGTTCAAAAAATAAACAAACGGTCAAAAATCATAAAAGGTCCAATGAACAAAAAGTTTAGTGAAATTTAAAGAAATTCAAGGTCAAATGAAACTTAATGGAACAAAAGGTCGAATGGACAATAGTTCAAAAAGCAGCTTCAAAATCGACTAAATGTCCTCTTAATCAAAGATCGAATATTTTCAAGAGAGAGAGAGAATTCAATATGTTGTCCATTCGACATTCTGTCGTCCTAGATAGAATGAAACACCTTCTATACATTCGGATTTTAGTTTACTTCGAGCTATTTTCCATTCAACCTTTTGTTCTCTTAACATTCATTTGACTTCTTGTCCTTTCGATCTTATGTCTTTCGACCTTTTCTCCCACAACCGTCAAATGGACCAAATGTCGAATGAAACATAAATGAATCTTAATTGAATCCTAATGGAACAAAAGGTCGAATGGACAAAAGTTCAAAATGTGAACTTCAAAATCGACTAAAAGTTCCAAAGAACTCATGGTTTAAAGAAGGAATATTTTCAAGAGAGAGAGAATTCGATCTTATATCTATTTTGACCTTTTCCATTCGACCTTTTGATCTCTTTACTTTTATTCAACTTTTTGTCCTTTCCACCTTTTGTCTTCCTAACATTCACTTGACGTTTTGTACCCTACCGTTAAATCGAAGAAATGTCGAATGGAGCTTAAAGGGACAAAAGGTTGAAATAGATAAACAAAGGACGAAAAGTACATAAGGTCAACGTAGATAAAATTTCGAATGGATAAAAAGTTAAGTGAAATTTGAAGAAACGAAAGATAGAATGGACCGAAGGTTAAATTAAATTAAAATGAACAAAAGGTCGAATGGACAAAAGTTCAAAATTTCAACTTCAAAATCGACTAAATGTCCCAATGAACTGCTCATGATTTATAGAACGAACATTTTCACGAGAGAGAACTCGATCTTATCTCCGTGTTTACCTTTTTCATTCCTAGCTTTAATTTACCTATTTATACAGTTAACTGTTTGTCCACATCGGCCTATTTTCTATTCGACCTTTGGATCTCTTTACTTTCATTCGACATTGTATCCTTTCGATATTTTGTCTTCCTAACTTTCATTCGACCTTTTGTCCCACAACCGTTAAATGGAAGAAATGTCGAAGTGAATTCATTGGCGTTTTAATTGCGTTTCAATGTGTTAGGCCGAGTTCAGAATCCGTAGGCCGAGTTTGGCGTCAAGAAGCAGTGTTAGACTTTTGACAATATCTCAACGATTGGTTTCTCTTTATCAAATCTTACGGTACTTACGGAAAGGTAAATAAATTTGGAAGCTATCAGTAATAATAATATTCCGTTTGATGCTAAACTGCACTAGATTAAGAAAGACTAAGTGCGGGTTGTGCTTAATAGGCCGTAAATGGGGTAGTTAACCCTATAGAATGACGCGAGCTTATAACAATCTAAAATGCGCGTTGAAAACAAGCACTTTTCAATTTCTCGAAAATGGAGCAATGTAAATTAAACCTTAAAGGAACTGAACGTCGAATTTACAAAAGTAAATTTCAACATCGATAAAACGTTCCCAATAACTGGTCATGATTCAAAGAAGGAGAGCATTTCCAGGCCATTTGATTTGCATGAAACTTTGGATAATTATTTGCTATGGTCAATCATTCACATTTGAGCTAAAATTCGGCCATTTTGAATCTTGAAAAAAAACTTCAAAAAGGCGTATTCGATAGTTTTCAACAAATCATAATTCTAAAAGGTCACTTCCAATCGAAATGACATCTGAGACAGAGCTGTAGGAAAAAATAATTACTTATCAGGAAAAATATAAAAGGTAAATTTTGTTTTTTAATTCTTTATTTATGAGATTGTAAGCCGTAGGCAAGTTCGTCTCAGAAATAATGTTGAGTAAATAATCAATGTTTTTACAAACAAAATCCCAATTTTTTAATATTATTATATGTGTCCAAAAGGTATTTTTAATTACCTTTCATTTGATATGTTGATCTTTGAAATCGGCCTAGTGATTCAAAAGATTTTTTGGATCACCCTAATATGGAAATGGTCACCCTAATGAAAAAATGAAAAATACGTGTCAAATACTTTGCGAGGAACTACCAATTTTAACGAAAATCTGAGAACAACTACAATGTTTTGCTATGGAATGACTGAATTTCAAAATCGACAAACATCCAAAGCAAAGGGAATTCGACCTTTTGTGTACCTAGCTTTCATTCCACCTTTTATACATTCGAATTATTATTCGTTGCTACCCATTTTCCATTAAACCTTTTGTTCTCTTAACTTCCATTCGAACGTTTGTCCTTTCGAGCTTTGGTCCCTTCGACCTTTTGTCCTCCTAACATTGATTCGACCTTTTGTATTTCGACTCTTTGTCCCACAACCATCAGATGCACGAAAACGTCGAGATCAGTTAAGCTACGCGACGGCATACCACCCTTCAGGGCTGATGCATACATTCAGGCGGGAAGGAATGTACCGCTGTAAGAAGACACTATTTTGCAGATTAGAATGAAAACCATGTCAAATGATACTTCAAAACTACCACCCTTTGCGTTTAAGTTCGTTGGAATATTTTATTCCATATAACTTGAAGGTAGCTTTAGCGTCATCCTTGTTTATATGATAAATGAAGAATGGGATGCTGAGTTCAAACTATTGGTAGTTACCTTAAATTTGTGTGCATTTGGATATTTGGCAGGATCTGCAAAATAGTCTTTTTGCAGCGGTACATTCCTTCACGCCTGAATGTATGCATTGTTGCATGGAATGTCCTGAAGGGTGGTATGGCGCCGGGTAGCTAAACCGATCTAAAACCTCGTATGAAACATAGTAGAACAAAAGGTCTAAATATACAATGTACAAACGAAATGGATAACAGGTCGAATGGATAAAAAGTGATGTTAAATTTAAAGTGTCCATTCGACAGTTTGATCGTTCGACCATTTTTTTTTCCATTCGACCTTTTGTTCCCCTTACTTTCAGTCGATCTTTTGTCCCTTCGACCTTATTTCCATTCGAACTTATTCCAGTGGACTTTTTTCTAGTAGCCCCTTTTCCATTCTACCTATAGCCTTTAGACCTTTTGTCCTACAACAAATAAAAATGCTCATAATACCCATACAAATCTGCTGGACTGTTTTCGTGGTGTTCCGTGTTCCGTAGATGACTCGAATTTCTGTTGATATCGGCTCCTGATGAACTCGGCATTGGAGATCGTGTTGTGAGGTCGCCAAGCACGAATTATACACCGCAAGCATCGGTTGTTAAAAACCTGCAGCTTTTGAGTGTTCTCCACTGATTCGCACAACGTCTCGCTGGGTTCACGTTGAAAGGCGGATTTTGGCCCATTCATCAGGATTCATTCGTTGATACGCTTGTCCAAGTGCATCTGATTTGCCCAGCTTTTCGATGGCGTCCTGGCACTCCTCCACAAAAACGTCCAATGAATCCAATTCGTACACGAAATTTACCGGCCGCATTCGAGAACGAACTTTCCCAAAGCATCTCAACCCGCAAGGGGGCATTGTTTACAAAACCTAAAAACAAATCCTGCAAAATTTCGTTTCATAAAATTATTTTAGTCCAAAACCGGATCCTTGATCCAGTTCCAATATTAGCAAACAAATCCTTCAGTAAACGTCAGATGATAATTGAGGTTTGTTAACCGTCAGCAATGCTCATCACACAAAATTTTGAACCCGAAGCGAAAAGCCCCTCTCTGTCTTACCAATTCCTGATCTACTAAATTTTGATATCATTTCAGTGCTCTTGACTCGTCATCTCTACCAGCTAAGGTGTTGTTTATAGAAAATAGTTTTTGTTTATTCACAACAGGACAGCTCACACTACAACCAAACAATATGATATACAGCGAACGCCACACAGCCAGACAGACAGACAGATGAGTGACGAAGAAGGAGATGGAAATGGACAGAGAGCAGAAAAGGGGGGGGGGGGGGGGAAGGAAGGATGACAGTCGATTGTTGACAAACGACAAGTGGGTGCACCCGATGAAAAATGAATGAATGCTTTCCAATTGGAACTGGAATGAAATCTACCGACACAGGAAGACACTAAGCGTAAATGTGCGCGGCCACTACGTCGAAATGGGGTATTCTAAGCAGGCAAAAACAATGCATGATCCTACGTTCGTGAAATATTTTGGCTAGCCGTACTTTTTCCTTGACGTTCTGTATTTTTCACACGTTGAATCACGCAGGAATCCCACGCAGATGTTTTTGTATGTGTGAGCGAGTTTTGGTTTTTGGAATGAGTCGCGGATATAAAAGAAGAAAAACACAAATGGTTTCGGTCGGTTAGTTGCTTGCATATTCCGTTCGGACTAGAAGGTCCAACAACAAAGTTTGTTGCTAAATGTGTTCGCTTTTTTTTTATCGGGATTTCAAATTCTATCCAATCGTTGACGAAAGGGTGGAAGATGCCAAAGAAGGTATGCGGGAAGAGGGTGACGAATTTTGATTTCGGTTCTGCTTGCACTCTGACCAATGGTTATTGTTAAACTGATAAAATTTAGTAATCGAAAACAAAATCTGTTAAACTAAATCAAAACAAACACACATTCTTAGTTTCCCCAGGGAAAACAGGACCGAATTAGTACCAAATTAGTATAGACCCATGAGTAATAGTTGGGGTACGGAAGGGTTGGGGTAAAACGAAAAAACATTTCTTTTGACGGAGTATAACAGTACAAAAATGAAGAACAAAAAATGGCTAAACATAATAGGAGAAACGCAAAACACACTCGGGATCGAATGCACATTACAAAACGATAATACAAATAATGCTAATAAGAAAAGAATAAAATTGAACAACATTACCAGTGCCAGATCGGCGATACGACTCAAGCGTCGCGACTTGGCCGACAGGCTGCGCTTCAACGGGCCAATGTCTTGTTCGAAAAGCTGTGGTTTCAGTCACGGCCGATGGTGTTATTGGTTTGTGTGTGTATGGGGAACGGTTTGGCAAGGGTTGTTTGGTGCGTGACAATCGACGTGATGGTTGGGGTCCCCCGCGCGCAATGAGGTTCAGTTTCAGGTTCGGGTTGTAGCGGTGGTTGGTGTTGTTCGTCAGACAAAAAACATAATGGGCCAATTCGGTTCCGATTCGGGTTGTTTGCGTCGGAGAGGTTTTTCAGAACACAATTTGTTGATTTCGTTGAAGGGGGAAAAAATGATAACAAAAGCAAAATTTGTTGATTCAATTTTTTTTTTTTTTTTGGAATGCGGTTGTCCAGTGTCGAGGCGCACGCAGGTTGGATTGATTGGTGGATGTAGAGTTCGTTTTTACACGAGATTTGGTGAACGATCGATGGTGTGCAGTAGAAGTAGTAGCGGTGATAGTGGTTTGGAGAAATTGATTTTGAAAATAAAAATGAAGAGGAGAAAGTAAGAAAAATATACAGTTAATAAAATATAACTTTCTGGGCATAAATGGGCGGACATTATCGACGGAAGGCGAAGTTTGCAATGTGAAATGGAAGTACTTTCAATAATATTTCGGCGGAATGCAACGGGAAATTTGATTCATCAATTCTGGAGGGTTCCTGAAACAGTTCTCTGAAATTGTCATTTTAGTACATATATTTAACTTCGTTTTTTAATTTTTTATTAGGGTCATTTTAGCCACTTCTGGGCTAGGCCACACGTATATTTAGGAAAAATTATCAAAAATCTCAAATGAGCACAAGAATACGTCACATATAGAAACGTTGATACCATTAAAGTATGATGAGAACTAAGTATTTTATTACAACATTGGAATTTAAAGTCCTTGATCAGTACTATGGTGTGCTAAAAATACGTTTGTCATTATTGCGTTAGCATGAGATCCAGATCGAAAATCGAGACCACCTGTCGAAAAAAATGTGGCCGAGAATTACTTTTAAAATATGCTTAAGACAGAAATTAAATAAATCAAGGAAATTTAAGGTCGAATTATGCATATATATTGCTCATTGAGCGATCGAAAAGTGTACTAAAATCGATTAAAGATAATTTAAGTCTCTTGTTTCACACAATTCTTCTACAAATGAAGCAAAATGATCGGCGGAGATTTCACGATCTAAGTAAGAGAATCATCAACCGAAGGCGTTCAAAATTTGTACTAAAAAATTACTGCAAATCAATGTTTTAAACCTTAAATTGTATTTAGTTGAGTATTAAAAACCATGTCAATGTAACTTTCCTGCGTTTCATACTAGAGAGGTTTGTTCTACAAAATATTTCTACAGAATTCTAATTTCATATTAGGGAAAATCTAAGTTCCAACGCTGAAATTTCATCCAAGATGAGCATCAACTTTTAACAATCATGCTGTGATAATTTGCATGTATCTTATACCTGGAAGCTTTGTAATAAATTGAGGTTTTAATTAACTGAAAATCAGGGATCCAACGCCCAAATTTTCATCCAAGATGAGCATCAACAATCATTCTGAGGTAACTTCCTTAACAAGAATTCTGTTTTCTACAGGGGAGGCTTGTACTAAAAAATTCTCTATTGAATTCTGATTTCAAATTGCAGAATACCAGCATTCTCATGCTCAAATTTCATCCAAAATGAGCAACTGGAACGATTCCACGATGAGTTTTCTGCTTTTTTTACAAGGGAGCATTGTACTAAAAATTTGCAATACTGAACTAAATGCAGACAGTCAGCGTACTAAAGCTCAAATTTCATCCAAGATGAGCGTTAAATGTTCTGATTCTGTCTTTAGTTCTAACGCTTGAATTTCATCCATGATAAACAGCAACACTCAAGAACCATGTCGTGATAATCACCCCTATTCTGTATTTCGTTTCCAACGAAATTCTCATACAAAAAAAATATTTTTTTGTATGAGAATTTCGTTCGAAACGAAATACAGAATAGGGGTGAATATTCCATATATCAGGAAGATTTTAACTAAATTTGCTGTAATAAATTGTGGATTTAATTAACTGAAAATCCGAGATCTAACGCCCAAATTTCATTCAAGATAAGCATCAACGACTATTCTAAGGTAACTTCCTTTACAGGAATTCTGTTTTCTACTGGGGAGGTTTGTACTAAAAAAATCTCTACTGAATCCTGATTTTAATGTACATTATATCAGTGTTCTAATTATCAAATTTCAACCAAAATTATCAACAAGAACTATTCCACGGTAAGTTTTCTGCTTTTGATACAAGGGAGCATTGTACTAAAAAAAATCCATACTGAACTAAATTCGGACAATCAGCGTACTAATGCTCAAATTTCATCTAAGATGGACGTTAAATTCTCTGATTCTGTCTTTAGTTCTAACGTTAAATTTCACCCGAGATTAGCAGCAACACTCAAGAACTATGTCCTGATAATTTTCCATACATCAGGAGTTTGAACTGAATTTGCTGCCATAAATTGTGGTTTCAATTAACTGAAAATCAGCGATCTAACACCCAGATTTCATTCAAGATGCGCATCAACAACCATTCCAAGGCAGCTTCCTTAACAAGTTTTCTACTGGAGGAGGTTTGTACTAAAAAATGCTCCACTGAACTCAGAATTCAATTTACAGAATATCAGCGTTCTAATGCTCAAATTCCATCCAAACTGAGCAAAGAGAACGATTTCACGGTGAGTTTTCTGCTTTTCATACAAGGGAGCATTGTACTAAAAAAAATCCATACTGAACTAAATTCGGACAATCAGCGTACTTATGTTCAAATTTCACCATTTTCTAATTCTATCTTTAGTTCTAACGCTTAAATTTCATCCAAGATTAGCAGCAACATTCAAGAACCATGTCGTGAAAATTGTCCATGTATCAGGAAAATTTGAACTAAATTTCCTGTAATAAATTGTGGTTATAATTAACTGAAAATCAGCGATCTAACACCCAGATTTCATCGAAGATTAGCATCAACAACCATTCCAAGGCATCTTCCTTAACAAGAATTCTGTTTTCAACTGGGAAGGTTTGTACTAAAAAATTCTCTACTGAATTCTGAATTCAATTTCCAGAATATCAGCGTTCTAATGCACCAATTTCATCCAAACTGAGCAAAGAGAACGATTTCACTGTGAGTTTTCTGCTTTTCATACAAGGGAGCAGGTTTTAATTAACTGAAAATCAGAGATCTAACACCTAAATTTCATCCAAGATGAGCATTAACGACCATTCCAAGGTAACTTCCTTTACAGGTATTCTGTTTTCTACTGGAGAGGTTTGTGCTAAAAAAATGTTCTACTGAATTCTGATTTCAATTTACATATATCAGGAAGATTTGAACTCAATTTGCTGTAATACATTGTTGTTTTAATTAACTGAAAATCAGTGTTCTAACGCTCAAATTTCATCCAAGATAAGCATCAACAACCATTCCAATGTAACTTCCTTAACAAGAATTCTGTGTTACACTGGGGAGGTTTGTACTACAAAATTCTCTACTGAATCCTAATTTTAATTTACATTATATCAGCGTTCTAATTATCAAATTTCAACCAAAATTATGAACAAGAACTATTCCAGGGTAAGTTTTCTGCTTTTGATACATGGGAGCACTGTACTAAAAATTTGCCATACTAAATAAAATTCGAACAATCAGCGTACTAATACTTAAATTTCATACAGGATGAACGTTAAATTTTCTGATTCTGTGTTTAGTTCTAACGCTTATATTTCATACAAGATTAGTATCAACATTCAACAACCATGTCGTGATAATTTTCCATACATCAGGAAGATTTGAACTAAATTTACTTTAATACAGAGTGGTTTTAATTAACTGAAAATCAGTGATCCAACGCACATATTTAATCCAAGATAAGCATTCCAAGGTAGCTTCCTAAACAAGAATTCTGTTTTCTACTGGGGAGGTTTGTACTAAAAATTATTTGCGGAGTTCTAATTTCAATTTACAGTGTTCAGCATTCTAATGCTTAAATCTCATCCAGAATGAGCAACGAGAACCATTCCACGGTGAGTTTTCTGCTTTTTATACAAGGGAGCATCTATACTAAAAATTTGCCATACTGAAGCGTATTAATGCTCAAATGTCATCGGAGATGAACGTTAAATTTTCTGTTTCTATCTTTAATTCTAAAGCTTGAATTTCATCCATGATTAGCAGCAACACTCAAGAATCATGTCGTGATAATATTCCATATATCAGGAAGATTTGAACTTAATTTGCTGTACTACATTGTTGTTTTAATTAACTTAAAATCAGTGTTCTAACGCTCAAATTTCATCCAAGATAAGCATCAACAACCATTTCAATGTAACTTCCTTAACAAGAATTCTGTGTTATACTGGCTAGGTTTGTACTAAAAAAATCTCTACTGAATCCTGATTTTAATTTACATTATATCAGCGTTCTAATTATCAAATTTCAACCAATTATGAATAAGAACTATTCCACGGTAAGTTTTCTGCTTTTGATACATGGGAGCATCGTACTAAAAAATCCATACTGAACTAAATTCGGAAGATTTGAACTAAATTTGCTGTAATACAGAGTGGTTATAATTAACTGAACATCAGTTATCTAACGCCCAAACTTCATCCTAGATGAGCGTCAACAACCATTCCAAGGTAGCTTTCTTAATAAGAATTCTGTTTTCTACTGGGGAGGTTTGTACTATAGAAAATGTTCTACTGAATTCTGATTTCAATTTACAAAATATCAGCGTTCCAAGTCTCAAATTTCATCTAAAATGAGCAACGAGAACGATTTCCATTTTTCTGTTTCAAAGATCTTAGGTTAGATCCAGAAGCCTCATTGAGATCAACTTCAAATGCATTAGTCTCAATAATCTTGAGGTGTTTATAAGGCTAATTCTTGGCCAATTCTAAAATCTTATGAATCATTTTTGGGAGGCCCTAAATACCATACATATGCCAATGCACAGGCTGTATGGGGAACAAAATCTTAAGTTCAGTCTGAAGTCATATAGAGCATTTACATAAATCATAACAATCAAGCATCGAGCTCGAATAACGATGATAATAATACAATATCAACAAACACTATGATGCATAACGCTTCATGTGGGATAATCCAGCGCAGTTGTGATTTCAGCTTATTAGCATAATTTTCAAACAATTTAGCACCCAAAAGTACCCTTGCCGTATTTTCCCATCTAGGTGAAAGTACTAAAAATAAGATTCATTCATAAAAATCACCCACGCAAGACCAAAAAAATTTCATATACGCACTCCGACAGCTCGTTGAATGACAACTCCCGAAGCATGACTCAAACTCAAACGAACCCAAACGAGCTCTAAAAATAGCGCGAGTGATAATTCAACACCCGAGTCCGGTTCAAACTACTCTCAGCAAAAAAATAAATAACAAACAAACCAAATTCACGAAAAACACAATGATTGACGTCCGGCTTGCAATCGAGCTCAGGAAAAGACGTCCGGTCGGTCAGCCCGGATTCGCCCTCTACGCAAATCCAATAAAACACTTGATTCGCATTCCTTTGTCCCCCGTAGGTATGTACCGTGTCCCGTGATCGGGCGACAGCTGACAGTTTTGTTTTTTTGCTGTTTGCGATTTTCGTGGCGATGTTAATTTTTCTGATGAATTTTCCTCCGTCGTCGTCGTCAACGTCGCTCAATCGTTGATCACATGCAGGGCGTGATCACGACCTGTTAGCGCTACCATTGCATTCCATTTCACATTGCAAACTCTTCTCCCTGCCTAGTTTGTTGATGTAGGTTTGAGCTTGGCGATAATTTCCCAATCAAATAAACGATGCTCAACTGCAACTGATTAGACAGGTCGGAAATAATGAGGGAGAAGCGTGACGACGGGGACTTGCTGGGTGCTGCAGTAGGTGGCGGAAGTTGGCGATCGTAAGGCGGTTCTAAACATTGCCAGAAAATCATTATTCGTTTTAGTACATCATTTTTTAATACATGGTCATTTTTGTACTAAAACGATACTGTACTACAGCGTTGATTTTTCATTAAAATTAGTTTTGATAGTTTGGTTCCTATGCATTAAAGTGTGTACTAAATTGTATCATTTGAAGCACCAACTTTTGCCACCGACTGCACCAGAAAAGAAGCGCTGATCAACCTAAACTTGCCCGTGAAAGGAAAAACCTTGAAAAGAATGAAGTTATCAATGAAAAGCTTTTGCCAAACAGGTGCAAAGTAGAAATGATTGGAAAGAAACATTCCGAAAAAGAATAGGAGACAAAATCGGACAATCCAGGACAAAACAAAAACAGATTGTGATTGGAATCTTAACGACAGATTGTTGTATAGATATATATATACAATAAATCGATAATGTGGTAAATCGTATCGAATCGAGAACAAGAAGTAGAAGAAGTGAGCGTGAGTGATCGAATGTACAACTGCCATCGGAATCAAACTCATGACCGGCGGATGCAAACGCTAATAATTGCACGAGTGAAAGGGAAGGAGGCATATTTATGGATATATATATATATATATTTATGGCACAGTCGTCTGCTTGAAGGACAACTGTGTGGGTGTGCGGAGCGGAGCAAGTTAGCAGCTGTTTAGGTCGATGCCGGATGGGGCGACGGTAGGTGAGATTATTTGCCAAAACGACGACAAAGAACGCGGTGGTGACGTACGATCGCGTGCGGTATTGCTTCGCTACTTACTACTGTGTTGAAGAACGGATGCTTCAAGGCCTCTACCACGGTGATGCGCTTGGTTGGGTCCACCACCAGGCACTTGCGGATCAGGTCCTTTGGGTCCTCTGTGGAAGATGAAGGTGGATGATGAAATAAATAAATAAATCGAGCTGTCACTGAAAATATCACTGTACATATAGCGTTACATAGGCTGTGTGAACGGGGTATTATTTATTACACAGGAAGCACTTATTGTTCAGTCGACCATAGATTTACATTCCCCTGTCAGAGGTAGTTTCTTTTACTAAACTTTTATTCGTGCTTATAGACAATACTGAGGACACATTCTTACAAAAGGAATTGAAAGCTTGGCTTACATCAAATATATCATTTTTAACTATATGATCCACTCTTTCGCTTAGCTGGCGAACCAAATTCTTAGCTATAGGGTGTCCCAGAATGACTAAGCACGATTTTAAAGAATGATAATTTAACTCTGTTTACAGCAAATTCGATTTTCATTTCAAAATTCATCTTCTCTAAAGTATTACAGTTCAACGTACAAAATTAAATATCCAATCAGTCGTAAGCCAAGAAGCGGATTTTTGATCTCACGCTACTCATTAGCTTCAGCACAGATGCCTTTCCAACAATTTTGGATACCTTTTCACAGTCTTTTCCAAACGTTGTAACGGAATCCGCTGCCTTTACATGTTTCCGCAAATATGCTTGGGTCAGGGCCCAGAAAGTTTCGATTGGCCTGGCCTGGGGACAGTTTGGCGGATTCATGCCAATGAACCGACGCCAAATCCAGCCAAAACAGTACTGAGGCGTCATGTTTACGGCAATGATAGCGGCATAGCGGCAAGCGCAAATTTTCCAATACACTGAAATCCATTTGACAACCCATAATAAGCGCGTTGCGGCAAAAGCGGCATTGTTCTAAAACGCGTTATTTTTAACACTTTGGAAAAATGCGATGCTGTTGAACGGCAATCTGAGAAGTGCTCAATGTTTTCAGTTGTATTTTTTGTAATTTTGTATTAACCAGAACCTTCAAGACGTAAACCAAATAATCATCCAAGGTCGTAGTAACTAGTCAGAACCATGTTGGCAGGATCATGCGACGCATAAAACTACATCAGAATTTAAAAATAAGATCATTGGTGGCCGTATTAAGTACTCAGGACCACGTTGGCCAGATCCGAACATGATCCGGGTACCCCCGGGGCACTAATCGGATTATTCTTGAACCAACACCCCCACCAACAGCTACATCAGAATTCAAACATAACATCATTGATCGCCATATTATGCACTCAAGATCACGTTAGGCTGTTCCGGACATGTTCCTGGATACCCCCGGAGAAGTGAAACTTGAACCTACATCATCATGTGACACATCAAACTACATAAGAATTCAAAAATAAGAACATTGGTTAGTTGTATCATCAAAATGACATCCTTTGACCGTTCAGAACCACTTCTAATGCAACTAGCAGGCTGCAGTGAAGTGTCCCGTGGGTGTACATAATAAAAATAACGAGTTCAGAGTGCGTTTAGGATGCTTTTTTGTGGTACAACGAAAGTGCAATAAATGCATTTTAGGTGATGAGATATGTTCCGGGTGCTCCCGGGGAGTTTCATAAATTTCCCGAAATTTTCCTGAGGCCAAGGGAACATCTCTGGAGTTCTCGGAAATTCTCTTCAAAACTACTCTGAAACTCTCAACAGAACTACTCTGAAAATCTCCACAGAAATACTCTAAAGTTCTACTCAGAACTAATCTCAAAAATTTCCTTAGAGTTACTCTGAAGTTCTCTTCAGAACTACTCTGAAACTCTCCACAGAACTACTCTGAAGTTCTCCTCAGAACTACTCTGAAGTTCTCCTCTGACTTACTCTGAAGTTTTCCTCAGAACTACTCTGAAATATTCCTCAGAGTTACTTTGAAGTTCTCTTCAGAACTATTGTGAAGTTCTCCTCAGGAACTACTCTGAAACTATCCACAGAAATACTCTGAAGTTCTACTCAGAACTAATCTCAAAATTTACCTCAGAGTTACTCTGAAGTTCTCTTGAAAACTACTCTGAAACTCTCTACAGAACTACTCTGAAGTTCTCCTCAGAACTACCCTGAAGTTCTCCTCGGAGTTACTCTGAATTTCTCCTCAGAACTACTCTGAAATATTCGTCAGAGTTACTTTGAAGTTCTCTTCAGAACTATTGTGAAATTCTCCTCAGGAACTACTCTGAAGTTCTGCTCAGAGTTATTCTAAAACTATCCACAGAAATACTCTGGAGTTCTACTCAGAACTAATCTCAAAATTTACCTCAGAGTTACTCTGAAGTTCTCTTCAGAACTACTGTGAAGTTCTCCTCAGGAACTACTTTGAACTTCTCCTCAGAACTAGTCTGAAGTTCTCCTCAGAGTTACTCTGAAGTTCTCCTCAGAACTACTCTGAAATATTCGTCAGAGTTACTTTGAAGTTCTCTTCAGAACTATTGTGAAGTTCTCCTCAGGAACTACTCTGAAGTTCTCCTCAGAGTTACTCTAAAACTATCCACAGAAATACTCTGAAGTTGTACTCAGAACTAATCTCAAAATTTACCTCAGAGTTACTCTGAAGTTCTCTTCAGAACTACTGTGAAGTTCTCCTCAGGAACTATGTACTTTGAACTTCTCCTCAGAACTACTCTGAAGTTCTTCTCAGAGTTACTCTGAATTTTTCCTCAGAACTACTCTGAAATATTCGTCAGAGTTACTTTGAAGTTCTCTTCAGAACTATTGTGAAGTTCTCCTCAGGAACTACTCTGAAGTTCTCAACAGAGTTACTCTGAAACTATCCACAGAAATACTCTGAAGTTCTACTCAGAACTAATCTCAAAATTTACCTCAGAGTTACTCTGAAGTTCTCTTCAGAACTACTGTGAAGTTCTCCTCAGGAACTACTTTGAACTTCTCCTCAGAACTACTCTGAAGTTCTTCTCAGAGTTACTCTGAATTTCTCCTCAGAACTACTCTGAAATATTCGTCAGAGTTACTTTGAAGTTCTCTTCAGAACTATTGTGAAGTTCTCCTCAGGAACTACTCTGAAGTTCTCCTCAGAACTACTCTGTAGTTCTCCTTAGAGTTACTCTGAAACTCTCCACAGAAATACCCTGAAGTTCTACTCAGAACTAATCTCAAATTTTTCCTCAGAGTTACTCTGAAGTTCTCTTCAGAACTACTCTGAAACTCTCCACAGAACTACTCTGAAGTTCTCCTCAGAACTGCTCTGAAGTTCTCCTCTGACTTACTCTGAAGTTCTCCTCAGAACTACTCTGAAATATTCCTCAGAGTTACTTTGAAGTTCTCTTCAGAACTATTGTGAAGTTCTCCTCAGAAACTACTCTGAAACTATCCACAGAAATACTCTGAAGTTCTACTCAGAACTAATCTCAAAATTTACCTCAGAGGTACTCTGAAGTTCTCTTGAAAACTACTCTGAAACACTCTACAGAACTACTCTGAAGTTCTCCTCAGAACTACTCTGAAGTTCTCCTCGGAGTTACTCTGAATTTCTCCTCAGAACTACTCTGAAATATTCGTCAGAGTTACTTTGAAGTTCTCTTCAGAACTATTGTGAAGTTCTCCTCAGGAACTACTCTGAAGTTCTCCTCAGAACTACTCTGTAGTTCTCCTTAGAGTTACTCTGAAACTCTCCACAGAAATACCCTGAAGTTCTACTCAGAACTAATCTCAAATTTTTCCTCAGAGTTACTCTGAAGTTCTCTTCAGAACTACTCTGAAACTCTCCACAGAACTACTCTGAAGTTCTCCTCAGAACTGCTCTGAAGTTCTCCTCTGACTTACTCTGAAGTTCTCCTCAGAACTACTCTGAAATATTCCTCAGAGTTACTTTGAAGTTCTCTTCAGAACTATTGTGAAGTTCTCCTCAGAAACTACTCTGAAACTATCCACAGAAATACTCTGAAGTTCTACTCAGAACTAATCTCAAAATTTACCCCAGAGTTACTCTGAAGTTCTCTTGAAAACTACTCTGAAACACTCTACAGAACTACTCTGAAGTTCTCCTCAGAACTACTCTGAAGTTCTCCTCGGAGTTACTCTGAATTTCTCCTCAGAACTACTCTGAAATATTCGTCAGAGTTACTTTGAAGTTCTCTTCAGAACTATTGTGAAATTCTCCTCAGGAACTACTCTGAAATATTCGTCAGAGTTACTTTGAAGTTCTCTTCAGAACTATTCTGAAGTTCTCCTCAGAGTTACTCTGAAGTTCTCCTCAGAACTACTCTGAAATATTCGTCAGAGTTACTGTGAAGTTTTCCTCAGGAACTACTTTGAACTTCTCCTCAGAACTACTCTGAAGTTCTTCTCAGAGTTACTCTGAATTTCTCCTCAGAACTACTCTGAAATATTCGTCAGAGTTACTTTGAAGTTCTCTTCAGAACTATTGTGAAGTTCTCCTCAGGAACTACTCTGAAGTTCTCCTCAGAACTACTCTGAAGTTCTCCTCAGAGTTACTCTGAAGCTCTCCACAGAAATACCCTGAAGTTCTACTCAGAACTAATCTCAAATTTTTCCTCAGAGTTACTCTGAAGTTCTCTTCAGAACTACTCTGAAACTCTCCACAGAAATACTCAGAAGTTCTACTCAGAACTAATCTCAAAATTTTCCTCAGAGTTACTCTGAAGTTCTCTTCAGCACTACTCTGAAACTCTCCACAGAACAACTCTGAAGTTCTCCTCTGAACTACTCTGAAGTTCTCCTCAGACTTACTCTGAAGTTCTCCTCAGAACTACTCTGAAATATTCCTCAGAACTACTCTGAAATATTCCTCAGAGCTACTTTGAAGTTCTCCTCAGGAACTACTCTGCAGTTCTCCTCAGAACTACTCTGAAGTACTCCTCAGAGTTACTCTGAAACTCTCCACAGAAATACTCTGAAGTCCTACTCAGAACTAATCTCAAAATTTACCTCAGAGTTACTCTGAAGTTCTCCTCAGGAACTATTGTGAAGTTCTCCTCAGAACTACTCTGAAGTTCTCCTCAGAACTACTCTGAAGTTCTCCTCAGAGTTACTCTGAAACTCTCCACAGAAATACCCTGAAGTTCTACTCAGA